CTACCACTACTACTACTACTACTACTACTACTACTACTACTACTACTACTACTACTACTACTACTACTACTACTAGGGACTTGGCCTACTACTATTATTATTAGTTCGTGAGTAGCTTGCTTTATACTTGTGCATGCACGTCAAATAAACAAATTCTATTCCGTACATGTTGATACAGTAAATGTACGTGTGAGTGACATGCCCTAAGGCCTAGGCCTACATTATTTTTTAGATGCTAATTATTATTTATTTTAAATTTATTAAATGTTCTTTTAAGATAAAAAGGGGGTTTAAGTATGCGGATGTTTCACCCTATATTCGCCATTGCGGTCTACTACAGTTTGTTTACTTGACGTTTAAAAATGCCGACTGGAGCGTTGCTTATCTCGCATCACAGGTATCAAAACCGCACTGAAAATTAATATTCATGCTAATTGCCCGACACTGCCTAAAAAATTCGCGACCGGGGTCAGATCTGCAAAGAAAAGCGCTTTATAAATACACGATACGGTAAATTTCGTGCTATGTGTAAAAACTTCTCTTATTTTCTATATGGACAATTGCTTTTTAGTTTTTTTTATTATTTTTTTTTTAATTTTTATTATCGTTGATCGCTATCAACGGTGTCTGGGTTGTGCGAGGCAGGGGCGGATCCAGAGATGTCCAAAAGGGGGGGGGGGCGAAATTTGGGCCGATCGAGACAACAATGTCCTAGGGAAATTTTTGTGTTCTAGACGCCCGAAAATAACATTTGAGGCGTTGTGGGCTATCATTTTTTTCTTTCTTTTTTCCTTTTTTCCCCTTTTTTTTATCCTTCCAAAAGGGGGGAAGGGAGAGCCCGGGCCGGGCCGGCCTCCCCCCCTAAATCCGCCCCTGCGAGGGGCGGTGTTTTCTGTATATCACCCCCGCTCTTGCACAATTAGATTAGACAGACTCTGTGATCGCCGTTTACACAACTCGTCCAGCAGAAGTTTGGGAGGATTGTCCGTGTACGACGAATAATATCCTCTGACCTGATACTTCTAAAGCCACGAATAGAAATCTGAGACATGGTAGTAGCCTACCACTGCAGAACTGAACGGATGTAAATAATCTAAATCTACCTTATTTAATTAACAACGACTTAGGCCTATGTTAAACTTTCTGATTAGTAAATAATGTCCAAGTATAATTCATTGGTTTTTGTTGAATCGTAATTTTGTACCGTATTTTCATATAAATCCATTTTTTTTATGAATAACTTTTAATGTGTAGGTCTATATATTATCCTACCAATCAAAATTTGTATATTTTCATGGCGAATGATTATTTTCTTATCACCTGATTCATTATTGAAAATTCAACCTAAAATTTATGTTAATTATGAGATCTATTTAGTGTGCTCCTTCGAGTGAATTTTATATATCAATTTTTTTAAGTGTGTTTTTAATAACTTTTTAATGTGAAACTGCTTTTGTAAATTTACGCAATTTAAAGTTTATGTTGCTATGTCGATTTGTTTGTTTTGCTTGTTTTTTTTTTTTTAATAAACCCCATGTCAATTTGTTTGGTTTTTTTTTTTTAATAAACCAGAAATGAATGAATGAAAAAAGAATTGAAGAAAAGGAAAACGATCCGGCCGGCTTAGAATTGTACCGAAAGTTGTTAATATTATGATAATTTTCATTATTATATTCTTTAATTTTACGTGTTTTGTAGTAAATTTTAGGCACAAATCCTCAGAGGTCAAGGTGCCAAGTCTATGACGTTTCATAATTCGTTTTGTAGAGTGGCCATTCCTTGTGACGTCACTCACGAGTTAACCAATCGGCATTGGTTTTAGCACGGTGGCAATTGTGAAAACTGCAGGGCCTAGGAAGTTGATTTTTTCGTAAAATCCTACTTTTTGTACTGCGCAAGATCACGATATGGTGTTTCAAACATATAAAGGATCTACTGTTTGAATTTGGTTAAGGTAGGCGCTTATACCATGGCATAATAATATTCTAACAATTCTAGGCTAGGACTAGCCTAGCCTAGTCCTAGGCCTACCTACTGTTTCAGTCTCAGTAAATCAGTAAGAAATCGGGACTCTAGGCCTAGGTAGGTAGCCTAGGCTAGCTACTTGTAGGATAAAGGTATGGGCCTACTACAGTAGTCCCCTCTCGTCATCTCAAAATGATCCTAGGTGGTTCTGAGTCAGTGGTGGTGGCAAGATTTGCCCGATGATGGGGGTACGATGTCCCCAACGTCGGGAATTAAATAAAGCCAATTTTCCCATGCAGGCTGCAGGCACAGTCCCAATTGGGAAGAAATTCCTTGGCCTTCTTAAGTTCCAAGAGATCAGGTACATTAAAAGCCCCATTCCATTCCCGGCAAGATTTCAGTTGTCAAGAAAAATCTGATTTTTATATATGTTATAAAGATTTATACTGTAAGTGTAAATGTAATGCGAAATTGCTAATTTAATTGAATTTAGACATTCCTAAACATGAAAATGTAAAATACTGTACCTAGGCCTAGGCCTAAGTAGTGTAAAGACTGAAATTTGATTTTTTGTGTTTCACACAAAAAATATATGCGGATAGATTTTTCATGTTTGATTTTGTGATAGGTCTGCAAAGAAACATAAAATAGTAGGCACCGAAAACATTAGCCTATCCAACACTGCTAGGCTAGGCCTAGCCTTTACCTCGATTTAGGTTCTGTTATCACACATAAAAATGGCCGACATGATATTTTCCGTTGCTATAGTACTGACACTTGTGAAATATAATATTTCATAGGAATTATTCCAAAGCTGTAAAAAAAAATGATTCTGACCGTGATTTTGAAAATTAAACAAACATATCTCATGCCTACTTGATCGATCGCAGTGTGCAAGATGCGAAGTACAAAATCCAATTTCATTAGAGAGGGTGCACTTTATTGACTGTATAAAGTATACATAAAAGCGAGAGCATTCCAGCGGAGGCGATCTGCAACTTTTGAATTTGCCTAGTAAACGAAGAATTCGTCAAGAAAATGGTAATCTTCTATGAGAAATAGTCTGTATTTTTTTTAAAAATTCTTTTGCGTGAAACTAAAATTTATGCCAATATTTTTCCATTGTTTATAATAAATAGAGTAATACATGCATTTTTTCTATAAAAAAAATCCTTTTTAATGAAATTTTGATGGGGCTTTAACACTACCTCTGCCTAGGCCGTATATAATTTTATTTTGCTTGCACAAAACATGGTTATACTTCTGGGAGACTTGGAACCTGCCAGCTTCCCTCACATGATAACATTGTAAGGGGATGTGTGGGGAGGGGAAGCTTACACCCTGCAAAATGAGGGTCCAGGGAGGACCCTCATTAAAAAACCATGACATGCGGCAAAGCTCTGGCGAATTTTTTTAAAACTTTAATATCCTAGTTGTCTCCAATAAGTGTAATTGTATATGTTTTCCTGTCATGGCATTTTTCTTAAAAAGCCATGACACACGGCGAAGCCCTGGCCATTTTTGTTTAAAACTTGAATATCTTGGTTGTGCTGTACAGGAATTAGGATATATATATAATTACATCTTACAAATTATTTGGGGTGGGGGGGGGGCGTGGCACCAATGAATAGCATCCCTATTTTTGATATTCCAATGTTGGCAGGTATGTAATATTTCAAAGGAACATGACAAACTAGACACAACACAAGATATAATGTAACAATTTGAACATATATATTTATTGGTGGTCATGTTGGAATACAAGATAGATTTTGTTGGTCTGCATCTTAGCATAAATTAATTAACCACTAAATGTAACCACTGAACTGAGTTTCTTCACATTTAAACTGGCAAGTAATATATTTACTGTTATCTCTACAGTACTTTGAGTTACGCACATGCGTGCTTGAAGGAACATTTGCCTTGGCCTGGAATATTCACAATAAGGTTTTCAATGTGCTCAGTCATACGTGACGTCATCTACACACAATTTTGCATTTTTACATTATTGATCATATCATCCTAACCAATTGTCATTTCTCATTCATATTTAGTAGGCATAAACTTTAGGTGAAGATGTAATACCACGTACCAAAATTTTTTGCGTGCGAATCGTAACACTTGCGCGCTTCAACGAACATTTGGCTTGGCCTGGAATAGTCACAATAAGGTTTTCAATGCGCTCAGTCACATGTGACGTCATCTACGCGCAATTTTGCATTTTTACATTATCGATCATATCAGACTAACCAATTGCCATTTTGAAATCATATTAAGTAAGCATAAACTTCAGGTTAATGTTAAATGTAATGTACCCTAATTTTGCGTGTGTGTTTCATAACGTGCGAGTCAAAATTTCAAAATCACTTTTTGACTAAATGAGAGCACGTTTCAGGCCATTCTATTCATTTCGTACCGAAGCTGGACATTTCGTTTTTTTACATGTTTTGGGTTCCTTACAATCTTTTAACATGCTCTTTTAATTCTTTTAAAAAAAACTTAATTAGCATACTTTATCCCATTTTCAGCATTTAAAAATTGTTCAATCCACGGCGGATCACCTAACTCGTCCGCAGTGACGAGTTCAAATCTAGTTGTTATTTCTTTTGTAGGAGCCTACAAAATAGCACCAAGCTTTCTTTAGCTATCTCCTCTCACTAAAGGTGTACTAACATTTCACTGGCCAGAGGTTAACCTCTTTGGTTAAACATATTAACATATGATCACACTCAACTGTGTGAACTTACTACATAAAATAAATAATAATCATTAATAAATACAAATACAAAATATTAATACAAATTACATTTCATTGCATAACAGTTTCAATTTGTTCTCTAACCAGTGAGGCTGAGTTGGGCAGGAAGTTTAAGGCAGATACTGGTATTATCCCTCTTAATAATAATAAATATAATAATACACTTTATTTTTACACAGATACACTCAACAAAACAAAATATAAGGAAAATATAAAAGTTGAATAACAAAATGAAAACTACATTAAAACAAAAGGTTAGCAAATAGCAAAAAAGGGGTGGGGGAATAATATTCATTATTTAAGTGTTATTATTTTTGGTTAAGGTTTTTCAGGGATAACGACAAAATCAAATGTAAACAATTATACATGGTTATTGCTTCTATATTTTACATTCTTTGTTTAAATTTTTGTAGGTAAAGTTTTTGCAAGGCTTGTGTACTGGAATCATACTGTGATGATTTAGTATGATCTTGGCAGCACGGTTTTGCAGGACCTAAAGTTTCTCATAACAAGTTTTATTCATAGAATTGCCCCAAACTATACAACTTAGTCGAAAGTTGTGGGGCTATTAGTGTTTTACATGTTGCATTGAATTTTTTTAGAAACTCTGTGCTTGCCTTTCTTTTAATACAAGCCTGGTAGAACCTTTTCCTTTACATGATCTGCATGATTTTCCCATGTGAGGTTTTTATCGATAATCACACCAAGATGTTAACAGCTTTTTACCCTTTTAAAGACTTTATTGTCAATTTTTATATTAGTGTACATTATTAGAAATCTTATAAAGCTTTTGGTGTGTCCCTATAATCATCACTCAGTTTTCTTAATATTTAATATTCCAATTTTAAAAGTAAAATACAATGATTCATGGTATCAATGCCTTCTTAAGGGCCAATGTAACTAAACCAATAAATTTTCCTGTGTCAATTGCGTCAATCCAATTTTCAGTAATGTTAAGTAGAGAAGAAGAAGTAGAAAAATTTGGACGAAAACCTGATTGCTGAGCATATAGAAGACCGTTTGTGTTAAGAAATAGGTAAATTTGCTCAAAAACAACCTTTTCAAGTATCTTTGATAGTACAGGTAATACAGATATTGGTCTGTAGTTACTTGGTTCACTTCTTTTCCCACTTTTGAAAACAGGGAAAATTTGTGCCATTTTCCATTTAAAAGGAAAGGTGCTTGTAGAGAGTGACATATAACCAAGGAATGCATTGTATTTTGCACACAAAATAAACTAGGATCATGGGTGGACATAAAGAAACATGCTTTATCAGTTTTCCCCTAACAAATCAAACGGTAAACTTCCACTAAAAAGTGCAAGATACAGCCTGGGTTTGTAGTAATCCAACGCCAAGCTCTATTTCCCCAATTTCGCAAAGACTCTGTCCATGTTGTTTGGTGACGTCCGGGCATAGGATTTGTTTCCATTTCAACAGGTGGCATCCTAATACTAGTGTGCGCACGTCGTTGATGTCCAGGTGTTTCCTCTAACTGTAGTAGAGACTGAAAAGAAAACAAAAAATTGATCAAAATAATGATTTTTTACATCTGTTTTTGCACAACCAGGGTCTATGAACCCATAGGCACACATTATTAACAAACAAACTTTCCTTGCATATACGAAGTGCTTCTGTCCCTGGTCATTGGATCCACATGCTTAAGTGTTGCTGCTTTTAATTCAAGTTCCAGAAAACAATCCGACTTTTAAAGGGGGGTGTGGGGATGAAATAATTAATTTTTAATTTAAAATAGAGGGATGGGCGACCACAACGACGGTGACGGCACTCGATTTTGGAGCGTGGTATTCGAAAACGAGGCTCGTGAACTGGGTCCCAAAAAAAAAACTGGTGCTACAGGATTTTGAGCTAGTGTTATAAGATAGGGAATTTCCTAAAATGTACTGACTTTCAAAGGCTTGCATTCGGTAACCCCATAAAAAATCGTGTCAAACTTTAGATATTCCGATGTAAATTTGGCCGTTCTTTTCATTTATATGGGTTTTCACTTATGAAAATAACGATTTTCCCCAGTTTTTATTTCGGAAATTTGCACTAGACAGGGAGTCAGCTGATTCACTCAACCGTAACGAGCTGGTAACGACATTAGCCAACTGATAAGAATGGTCGTCGCGAGCGGAAAATTGAAAAATTAGGACTGGCGAAAATATTCAATAATAATAGTAAAATAAGTCGAAGGCATTTTTGAAGTATGATTCTTTCAAAAAAATATGTTTGCTGGTTTGGATAAGGAAGTCTTGGAAGTGGTGATCTTAATAGTGGCGTTAAATAGGTTTGTTTAATACCAACTTGTCTTACCTGTGTAGGCATAGCCTAGCATTTAGTGCAGTACTGTATGTAGGCCTATGTAGAGAATACGGAATACTAACTGCCTGGCGTGACCTAGGCCTAGGCCCCTAGTTTAGGCCTAGGCATATACAAACTATAATAATAATATTTCAAACATTAGACAAACAATCAACACTATTTTAAATAAAGTACATTAATTTACATGTTAATTATTAGATCCATGGAACTATCTAGGACCTACTACTAGTACTACAGGCATTACTAAAATGCCAGTTTATTCGTCATGGAATGTGGATGATGCCTTGAAAGCTAGCTCAAATTTGCGCGGAAAATGGCTTGGAAAAATGTGCACAGAACTTAACTTCTGCATAATACATTGGCAATGGTTATATACAGTATTCAGATTAGTTCAAAGACTAATTTTCGGCATTCTTCTCGGAAATATAACCACCCGCCTTAGGCGTGGCCCTGCTTGTTCCATGCTGGGTCAAAAACTAGTAGAGGGTCAAATGTCCAGCCATTTTGATGGTCAAAATACAGGGGAATTATTATTACTGTACATTAGAAAAGATTGAGAAACAAGATAGTCTATTATACATATATTGTTTTATCTTCATTTGTAATTTTTAAACTAATTTTTATTTTTATATTACAAAAAAGTATTATATTAATGAAATAATAAATTCTACACCACTTTGCAATGCATTTGAATATGGGCTTTTCACAGTGATGGTTAATTAGAATATATAAATTTTCAACAAAAATTATCATTGATGATTAGTGCCAGAATGATTAATTCCTTATAAAGACATTGTAATATCAATACTAATTATTTTTGAATGGTGTAAGAATAGTCACTCTGATTTTTTTTAACTAGTCTGTTCAAACTTTTTATTGTACTTCTCTTCTTACAGGAAATGCCGACATGTTGCTGATATCAATGGTTTTCATTTGGTAGGTGTTTAACAGGCTAAAGAAATCTGACAGAAGGGTCATCCCATCTTGCACTGTGTGGGCAATTAGGGACAAGTTCCCAGAAGCTGTGAAGACTGCCCTGGGTTTTTTGATGCTATAGATGATGAAATAAACTTTATGTTGGAAGAATTATTTATAAATTGTTATGGAAGATACCTGATAAGTCCATCCTCATTAATGCAACAGATCTTATGTAAATAGATTCATTCTTGACAATTCATGTGACAACTGTGCTCTATTTTTTTGACAATCTCATCACTCATGAAAGGAAATTTTGTCAGCACAGGCCTAGAGCTTTTGTACTGTATATCTGGACCAGTCAATTGTGTGTAACCTTCCAGACCTAGTCTGTAATTGAAATTGTTGCTATTGATGCGGATAGGCCAGCAAAGTTGATTTCAAGAACATTTTGTCGTTAAGTACAGTACAATGTCTATCAAGGTGCAATGTAGCCCTGTCTCTTATACACATCTAGATAATACAGTATGAATTAGAATTTTGTGTACAGTAAATAAATGTAACTTGTTCTTCCCTATTCTTTACATTGGTATAAACTATAGTAACTATAAATCCATATATATAATATTTTGATAATAAATAGAGTTTGTAAAATGCAGTGATATATATTGTAATACCTGACTGCTTTAATCGTGTATAGTAAAACAATTTTATATTAACTGTGAGAAAATACACTTGTAATAAATTATTTGCAATGTACAAGGATGATAAATTGTTTCAAAATATTTATTTAATAACACCAGTAGTCTTGAATTTACTGTATGTACAACAATAACTAAGTGAAGCACCAAAAATATGGATGTTGAATTTCATCATGAAAGAAGAAATCTTGGCTATGGTAAATAATACAAGACAATCAGACATGATAAATAGAGCAGTGCAGTTAAACTTGCCTAAGACGACTAATAATATACTCTAATAATTTCTAAGTCGATCTAATTTTACATGCCGAATTGTTGTGTTTTCCATTACCGTAAGTGCAAGTCAAATTTTGTTAGGTTCAAACAATTTCTCAATGGTATTTTGGATATGACATAGGCAAGTTCAACTACTGTATTTTAAAATACTAAACAAAAAATGGTGTACAGCAAAAATTTGAAGCTCTTTCTTAAATTCCAATACCAAATTGATCAGCATGCAGACATAGGCATAATCCAGACATTAAAAAAATAAGCAGTTTCATAGAATAACTTTACACAAGACTGTACAAAGCCATATATTAAAATAGTTGTTCCTGTATATATTGAGCCACATTTTCATACTGTACTATCAACTTCACACATTACATACTTCAAAATTAATCCTCACAATTTGTTTTCTAAATCTGGGTCACATATTTGCTTCAAAAGGATTACTATTGAATGGGATTATAATACCATTTAATAATATTAAAGATATTTTGCAAGTGAAACAGGTACAGTAATTATTTATTTATTATAAATTTGGCATGCAATATAAACCAGATGCTGCAATACTGTAAACCAGATGCGTAAAAAACAAAAACTTAAGTGTGTGGCATTTCAGTATGTCATCAGAAAAAAAAATCACTAGATAAATCATTTTAATTTAATTCTTTGGAAATATTTTGGATTCAATCACTTGCTGCAGAGCTCTGAGCATCGCCACCTTCTGCTAACCATGGAATTGTTTGCATCACATCCATCTGATCCAGTCATTTGCTCCTATTCAGGAATAAATACAGTAGTTACAATAATGCAAAACCAGGTTTGTTAAAAATCAAAAATGTTATCAAACATTTGCTGCTTTATCAATAACATACCATACTGAGATACTGTATGTACTAATCTGAAAAGACATTCATCAATTGACAGTATTTTCAGATTTTTTAATTACTTGATTGAAGCCTTCCTGTCCGCTAGTGTGTAATATATTATTGTTGTTTCTTGATAAAACTGACACACCATGCTGATATTTTTTTACCATTCCAATATATTTGTTTCATGTACTCTGGCTGAACAGTGATGAGATATTCACTTAATTTTCTTTTGCTCACCTTAAATTGTGTGTATAGCTTTCATTACAAGTTCCAGCAAACAACCAGAGTGTTTCTTGCTAACGTCTTGCTGGGTGCTTGTTGTATGCTTTGTACCACCTTCTTTCGTAGATGCCAATGTTGGGTGGTTGTACTCATGGCAAATGTTGTGGTATGTTTGTCTCATCATGGCGACTGGCAAATACCTATGTGAGGAGAGTGTCATGTTTCGGCCTATCACATATTTTGTCCTACAAAAATATATATGTATAATATTTTATTTGAATTCCACCTTTCAACAACAGCTGAAAGTTAGGTTTGGAGTAACATATGCATCATGTTATTATTTAATGGGGCGTTATTGTTGTATAGCCTAGCTTCTAGGCCTACAGTATATCAATAATAATCTTATTGTTACAGGAATTGGTGTCTCTGATGATATACTGTAGTGTTATAGCACATCACCTTTATTTAGACAGTGCATTTTTTAGACATTTAGGCCTAGGCCTACTAGCCTAGACATTTTTTCATAGGACCAGGCCTATAGTATACTATTATTAGTAGGCCTAGGGGCCTAGGTCTATTATTATGAAAAAAAAAAATGCACTAGCACAATTAATGTGACAAAGATGGCATGGCATGACAAGTCTAGGCTAGGCTAGTAGTAGAAACCTACTATCTTTACCGTCAGCTGGATAAGGCTGCGTGCGAACTCACCTGCTCCGGGACTGGAGCAGTGTCCCGGACAGGAGTGCGCTACTGCTGCTGGGTAGACACTGACTGTGCTAATCCTAGGCATATGTGTAGGCCTAATTATAAACAAACAATTCGTCGGACTGATATACGTTTATTAATTCAATTGAATTATTCCTCCATGATTGATAAATCGACGTTGACTAAACCGTCTCTCTGTAACTGCGTACGTAAACGATCACAAAAACTCACGACTTCACACTAGCGTACTGTATCTAGGCTAGTTGCTCGATCGTCGGGACGATTTTTCGATCAGCTGCTCGCCAAAAATTAATTGACAGACTTGTCTTGAATATTAATGAGTTGGTTAGAAAATGCTACCAAGCTACTGAAAAAAGTGATCAGCCTCATTTTCACCTGATTTTCCTGTCTCATCATATCATGTTTTGTTTCTGTAATTATCCTTACATCTCAACATTTTGAATTTTTTAAGTATTTTTCCCGAACTCAGGAAAGGT